TCGCATCGGAAAGCAAGGTTATGTGTTTATTTTCACTGATTTTAAGAAGTGGTTTTGATGTTTCATTCCAGACAATCACTGTGTCAACATTTAAAGACTGAGAAAAGTTCAATGTTTTAAATAAATTAATCTCATAAACATTTTGTTTATTGGGTTTATTGTTTGATGAAGCAATGGTTCTCGGCTTACCAAGACATATTTTGTGTTTGGTTCAGTCTCGCTTGACTACCGACTGAGACTGCTCAAGTATTTTTTCTGAGTCATTTTCTAAAACAGAAACGGCTTTATCTTTCTTCTTCCTGCTAGACTATGCTTCTGGTACCTGTTCAATGCCTGGACAAGACTTTCTTGTACCTTACCTTTTGCCCAGTCGTGTAAAATATTATCAAAATTCTCAAAACTTTCTGCCATTTTAAAACACAGAGGGAAAAACTTTGAAATGATGACGTCAATTGTGCGTCTGTCCTCTAATAGATCATAGCCGAGAACCAATCAAAATGCGAGAATAACTTGGGTTGTTATATAAAAAACGATAGATAACAGCTGAAACCATGCAGAGCTCTGACCTCTAACAGTCCATCGGCTCAACTCAACTTTTAAAAGTCCTTTCGATACAAAAGTACCCTTCAGAGACAGGGGGGGTGGGGGCAACTCTCGAGAGAATACTGAAGATACAGCTGGTGGGGGGGGCAACACTCACGAAAATACACATATGGGAGGTAGAGGGACATACATGATGACGTTTTATGCAGAACGAAGCTAACTTAGAAACAAGCTGGAAGCCGATCAAAAAGGGAAGAAATGCATATTACTACAGTTAACAATGTAACTAAAACAAATATATTTGTTTGTCCAAAAAGCTCACCTGCAATCCGAGTTCAATCGATATCGCTCGCCAACAAAGTTCTCCAGCTCGAAGCGTTCTCCCTGAATATACAGCAGGTACACTGATAAGAAGAAAGTCCTGCATACGAACAAAACATGAAATTACTGCAAGGAAAGGTACTAAATACACAGTGAATACTAACAAATTAACCTTTTCGTCTGCCTTTTTTCAGCCTCGTTCAACTTTCGCGGTTCAACAACATGGACGAACTGTTGTTGCAAAGAATGCTGGGAGCGTTCACTCATCTCGCGCGTTACCCGCGCGAGTTAGTGTCGTGTGCTGTCGTGAAATGTAATAATGTCGTGAATTGTAATACCTGTTGTGAATTGTAATTACACTTGTCGTGTATTGTGTATTGTAATACCTGTCGTGAAATGTAATAACAAGTGTCGTGAACTGTAATAACGCACCTGTCGTAAATTGTAATAACATGCTGTCGTGAAGTGTAATACATGTAATCCGAGCTGTCGTAAATTGTAACAACACCCTGTCGTGTTTTGTAATAGGTCGTGAACCTGAGAACGAGCGGTTTTTAAAAAAAGCGTGATTTTTTTTTTTTTTATCGACAAATAACGGTTAAAATTGATGACGGTGGTGATGGTAATGATGAGAGTGAGGATGAGGATGATGATGATGATGATGATGATGATGATGGTTTTATGTGAATTGCAATGCTGCTTATCGATACTGTTATGCATTCAATAAAGAAATGTAAACTGCGATTGGGAAATAGCCTTATGTCACCAGCAAGTTTAAAGAAAATACTTGGCTCACGCAGATTAGTTACTCTGAAGATGATCAATCGGTCGAAAACGTGTGGCAATAATTTTTAACAGCTTTCGGCCTAGTACAGTTTTTTTCATTTGATATTTTGACGGTGAAATGTCAGCAGAATATTATATATTCATGGTTGGGAGGTAAAAAGAAAAACGGGAGTGCTGCACAGCAATTTACTTTTATTCAAAGCATAAATGCTATCTCTTACATACCATTAATTTTATGATAACAGGTGATCGGAACACGTAACGATTATAGCACTTAGCACTCAAGACAAACAAGAATACATCGCAATTACAATTTTAGTCCAGTCTAAGCAAATGTTTTAAAGTTCTATCTCGCCAAATAAACCCAATGCTATTACACTATTGATGTT